TAAATAATCTTATTCATATCAATTTACACTGTTCACTGCTTTATTTAGGTTCTGCTCCTTATAGGAACATGCCGTATCAGCATTCTTTTACTAGTATTCTTCTGTATTTTCATTTTGTCTTATGTATTACCACTGCTTCATTAAACAAGTAAAAAAAAACTTATTTTTGTCTCATTCAACATTTATTAATCACTAAATTATATAATTATGCACTTATTGGGCTGCTATATTTCCGAAACGTATAAGATTTTTTTCAAATGAAGGGAGCGGTTGAAAAAGGATTTATTCCAGTTTCTCTGAAGAATGATCGTAATACTAGCATATGGAGATAACAATCAGTATTCAAACCCCAAAGTTCATTAAACAATACATATTTGGAGAAGAGCAAATACGGACCCCCAAAGCATTAATCGTGGGATAAGGTGTCATGGAGGAGTGAACATCCCCTGCCGGTGTAACGACGAAAGGTGACCCCCGTAGAATATTGACCCGGGGTCATTTTTCTACGTAGAAATTTGACCCCCTGGTCAATATTCTATGTAGAAAAATGACCCACTTTTCTGTAGAAATTATGGCCTTGGGGTCGTTTTTCTCCGTGTGCACTGTAGAAAAATGACCCTGTAGAATAATGACCCCTTGTCATTTTTGATGCAAAAACTTTCGTTTTGAGAGGAATATTCTTGTTAGCGAATGTATACGTGTAATATCAAGCAGCCTTATGCTTTGAAGTGTTAATTTCTTGAAGCATTTAAGCTTACATAACGAAATAAAAGCTATACAATACCTTACATAAATGATACAAACCGCTTTATCCCCATTGAAGGAAAACAATATAGATCTACATGTATTAAAATGTTCTAAGGCTATTTAGGCAAAGATATGTGCGCATTCATACAATCATTTATTACATTTAATACAGTAAGTTTCCACAGTTGTCATTTTAATCTTTAAAGGGTCATTTTCTAGCTGGTGTCAGAAATTGTTTTTAAAAGTTTCCAGAGTTGATTAATTATGAATCTCTTTGATTTTACCCTGAATAAATGATTTGCAAAACTCAATTTTTCAAAAGTTTAACGTTATTGATTCCTACTTTTCAAATTGGCGCGAAAAAGGGCGTTAGCTCAGAAAAATAGATCTTATAAAAATATTTGGTTTTCTATGAATGGAGTTTTAAACTTCTCATAATAAAAGGGATGATCGATTTAATTTGTAAAAATAAGTAAGAATTTAAATTGCCTCTGAACTATGATACATAGGAAACAAAAAGTGGTTAGCTTAAAACCTGAAAAATTCAAAAAGAAGTGCTTGTCTTTCCAAATTGACACATGTAGTATCGTTTTCCCCGTTCTACATGTACATGACTTACATTTGTAAATGTGATGATATTAGGAGTTTTTTTTACCAGTAGAACATATGTAGAAAAAAGCAAAACAAATGTTGGATTATGAAAAAGTAGTTACTTTACTTATTATACTTATGCCCCGGTGAACAAAGTTTAGGGAAGGGGGGTATATAGTTTTTAGCCTGTCCGTCCGTCTGTCTGTTTGTTTATTTGTCTGCAGAAACTTGTACCTTGCCCATAACTTTAGACAGGGTGGGACTATGGCTTTCATATTTCAGTTGTATTTTTGTGACAAGACGTTTTTTGTGTACAACCAATTTTGACCTTTTGACCTTGACCTTGGAGTTTGACACACTTTTACACAAAAATTTCAAAGTTTTACTTTGGCATTAATTTTTGGACGGTATTTGCTAGGACTTTAGATATCGAAGTAATGGCATGATAGACTAAGAGTTCATTTGTATTTGAGGGACGTTACAGCAACCATTTGTCAGTTGTCTGTGTTGAAAAGGAAAGTTTTTAGTTTTTTTTTTAATTTATAGATATCTCTAAAGGTTGAACGAATATTCACTCAGATGTAAGTTTTTGACAGTGTTGGAGGACTTTTTTTAATATCATTATAAGAACGTTCTCGATGTGCATGCATGGTATTTCCCGTATATACAAGTAAAAGTATAGTACCTTACATAAGAAAGTTAAAAAGTATGTATTTTAAAGCAGAATGCATACAAATATATATATGTGAGATTAAAGGCAAGAACTAAGGAAATTAAATTCATATAATTAAATTGCGTTGCTTTTCTTGCTTCTATGCTTTGTTTTGGGATTTGTAAAAATTTCAAAGTTTATGGTTATCAGAAACATATCATGCCATTTTCGGAACAGAACCTTTGAATAATAAAAAAAAAAACAACCCCAAAATATAATAATATTCAATTATGCTCCTCAATGAAGAAGGATATGGAGATCACGAACTGTATTCAATATCAAAGTCCATAAAATCATCAGGAAATAGTGGGAAAATCCGTCCTCAATTCAGTGTGAAAATAATGGACTTACAAAAGTATGAAAAACGTCAGTCAGCATTTGACTCAATGATAAGTTGTATTTGCTGTCAAGGTCATTTTATCGACCATAGAACTTACGAAATGATGACTTTAAACGAGACTTCTGATATTCTTGTTTCATCAACTTGCTTGTCAATCATTTACCTCGTTTAAGAAATTGTTCATACGTAGAGCATGCTCTTGCCTATCGAATCAACTGAGATATATAAGCTCCGTATGCAGGTGATGAATGTATATTGGTGCATAAGTAAGGGAGGTTGACGATAGAAACTTTAAAGTCATCACGTTTATCATATAGCTTAGTTGTTAGATTACCATGAACGTCCTTGTCAAGTAAAATATCCAAGAATGGAACAGATGTGTCAGACTCTGTGGTATCTTTTATCTCAAGTTCACCAGGATATATCGTATCGACGTAGGAATGGAAATTACGATTGCTAATTGACGATACGTCGTCGATATACTAGTATCTAAATGTCGATTTGAAGGCCACAGCAAGTGTTTTCTTCTTTTCATGCATAAGATATTGCACAAATTCTGCTTCATAAGAATACAACAATAGGTCTGCTAATAACGGAGCGCAATTGGTGCCCATAGGATTTCCAATAGATTGTTGGAAGACCTGGTCTCCAAAAACCCACAAAGATATTGTTAATCAGAAATTCAAACATCTTCTTGATGTCAACTTCAGAGTACTTGAGTGTGCAATAAGATGTTTTAACAAAATAAATTTGAATATGACCAATGACCAGGTAAGTAAATTTACGAGTTCCATTTTTTTTTTTGAAAAGGCACCTGTGAATGATATAATAAAAGCCTGCAATTTAATTTATCGTGGGAAATGGTTGCGTATAAACTTGAAAAGTCGTAAGTTTTTAAGCTGTTGATTTTGGACAAAAATCTTGTGATTTCAAATTTTCCAAAAGTTCTTTGGAATTTTTGAGCATTCACATCTGATTTACACCACTTCTTGAAAATATTGTTGCACAGTACTCTTGAAGTTTTTCATTGGATTTCTGCAAGCCAAAATAATCCATACCAGAATCATTGATTGTTATGCTACTATTAAGATGCAATCAAATATAAGTTGGAAAGGATTAAAGTTCATAAATGAAAGTATGAAAAAATATCAGGAGACTCAGATATAAGGTTTTATAGTAAAAAAAAAGTAGGGGGTCAAATTTCTATGGGGTCATTTTTCAACGTGTGCTGAGTCGTAGAATTACTGGTCTGGAATGTTTTTCTACAGTCGAAAAATGACCCTACTTGTCGTAGAATATTGACCCGGAGTCATTTTTCTACGTAGAAAAATGACCCCCTGGTCCATATTCTACGGGGGTCACTTTTCGTCGTTACACCGGCCGTTCAAGCCTGTCGCGTGCTCCCTTTAAACTGGAAGAAAGGGAAAATCAGTGTGCAAACAATGAGTTCGAAAAACGTCAGACAGCAATTTACTCAATGATCATGATACATGTGAATTGCACGATTTGCTAAAGTAACTGTATCAACTATTATAATAGAATTTACGAAATGACGACTTTAAACGAGACGACTGATATTCTTTTTTATCAACTTGTCAAAATTTATCTCATTATAGAATTTGTACATACACAGGAAAAATGTCCACATGTGTTAAACATATGTTTGGTTTCACATGTGTTCAACACATGTTTTATACATGTAATACATATGTGTAAATAAACACATGTAAAATATGTGTTTCATTTATATGTAAAACATATAAAATATACACATGTTATACACGTGTGAGATAATATATATGTTAAACACATGTTTTTCACCACACATGTATAACACGTATTATATATATGGAATATATGTGTGCGAAAATACAGATGAATTATACATGTTTAATTTATATAAAATATATATGTACTCATATACACATGTTATACACATGTTAAGTTTTATCTCATATGTGTGTGTACATTCATTCAAAAGAATTTGTAAATGTTAGTAAAATTTTACTCATGTAAAGTTTTACTTTGTTTATCCCCCCCCCTTTCCCTTCTAAAAAAAAACTTTTACAATTTTTTTTCTGTAATAATGCATTTATCAGACAAAATTGATAAAGAATGAATTCATTTTCTTTTCATTTTAAATCTTTTGGTCTTGGCTTACTTCTTGAATAAAATTAAAATAATTCCGTATTTTTCTCCGGGCCGCTTTTGTCTTTTTTCGGATGAAAATGTACGTCATTTTTGACGTCACTGCTGCAGCAGACGTGCTGGGTGTATTGGAACTTAGGTAAGTGATCTCCAAACAATTTTTTAGAGACTTTTAATTCATATTGTTTAAATATCATTTCATTATAGTTACAGGTGCGTATGAACTTTCTATATACATGTAATACTCTTATCATTGTGACTTAAATTGTCATGCATTTCGTAAACCTATAACGATAGCGATCTGTAAGTAATTTTGGTGAAAAATGTTTCTGATTGAATGTAAGCACGGGCACTGGAAGTTAATCTAAATATATAGTATGTGTATGTATAAAAAAAAGACCCTTCTTTTTTTTTTTATACATACACATACTATATATTTATATTAACTTCCAGTGCCCGTGAATGTAAGCGGTTACATGTTAGGCTAAAGGCATTACTATTTTTCATAATTTGTATACAGGTAAGTAATTTTGGATAAATTTGTTTCTGAATGAACGTAAACATTACATGTTAGGCTATTTTTTAGAGGCATTATTGGTTTCCCTTTTGTTACGAACTGATATGAAAGTGAAAGTAGAAACCTTGAAACCATTGTGACTGTCAGTTGGTGTTTATGTATGTTGAGACGGCTGTCTGACAAGTCGATTCTTTCATCAACTTAATAACAAGTGTTTGTTTTATGGCCCATAGATGCATGCAGTAACTTGAGTTCAGTGTCACATTGCTGCGTCTAAAAAGCCCAAAGCTGATAAGACTGGCGATTGATCCTAAAGCTGATTTGACAGAAGATTGCATCTTCACAATATTAAAGGTAAAAATAAATACTTGCAATAAAAAATCAAAGTAAACAATCTGTAATGACTCCTTCATGACAAAATATTTCTTTATAATTTCTTTTTGTTCCTTTATAATTCTACATTATATTGTTTGCACGACTTCATAAATAATAAGTCCAACTCAATACTACAATAATTTTATTCTATATTATAAAACAGTTTTAATCCAGTGCACTTTTAAAATATGGAAAGTATGAATAGAATTTGCTGGCTTTAAAAGCTATGAAATTGATACATGTACTGTAAATGACTTCAGGGGGAGGGGGGGGTATTAAATTTTTGAATTTCAGTTAAAAATTAATAATAACAGTGACTGTATCCAACTTTCAAGGTACAAGTACATGTGCATATGTGTTGATTGTTGAAAGTACATCAGCTAGCTAATCCATTGGATATTTACATCTATTATGTACTGGTATTCATTACCTGACATTTATTATTTTTTTCCAACACTAGAGAACATAGTTTCTGGTAAAATGTAAGATATTAATTAAGACTATCAAGAACCTACAAACATGTACTCTCTCTTTTTTGTAGTTGTAGTTTTGTAGTTTAATTAAGTTTTAGTTATGCTTAGAAGATATCTACTGCGTGAATATTTGTTTTACAGGTTCAATATACAGTCAGCGTCTCATAAGAATAAATCCCAAGATCCAAGACTTGCTTAAAAGCTTAATTAAGGTAACTACACACTGTTAAATAAACTTTATTATATTCTTCCCAACAACGTTTGGGATATCCTGGAATCACACTGTCTGCTTTTCTGCCTGTCTACTTCTCTGTAGTATTTTTTGTCCAAAAATAAAATATTTGTGTCAGAATCTTCTTAATTTTTGGCAATATGAATTAGTAATACTGTTTGAATATTCCAAATTTAATTGTCAAAATAAAAAAAAAATAAAAATTGCTTTTTATGACTTTATTATGAAGCATATCTTCCAACAGTGTAATTGTCTTGCATATTACATCATAGGATTCCACAAAACACCTAGTATAGCATATATAACATTAGTTTTATCTCTTATCATATCTCTGTTGGTGAATTGGACATACATTTTTTTTGCTGAACTTTAATATTACTTGTAGAATTGATTTTGTAATTTAAGAATTGTTTTATTTTTACTTTTGAAATTTTTGTAGAGACCATTCTGTGCCACAAAGAAATTGTTCAGGAAAGGGAGAAATGGTGGATTTGCATTTTGGGTACAGTTCAAAGAGAGTTCAAGATGGTCAAGCTCATGGAAGATCAGAGGGAGGACAACTGAAGAAAACTGAAAGATACAGAAGGAAAAAGAACAAGAAAATATATGAAATAATTATGAAATTAGGAGGATGTACACAATCTTGTCTGCATTTGACCTGTAAAGATTTAATTCCCATTCTTATCTGTATGCTGTAATATCAAATAACTTGATTTTTCATAAATTAACAATAGAGAATACATGACAAATGTTATATGTGATATTTCAATTTTGCGTTGGACACTTTCATGTCAAATAATATAAATTATAAAAAAGTACATGGACTAATTGTGTTATTCATTTGTACATGTATGCATGTTTAACTATTTAATCATTTTGTGGAAATCTTATAATTGTACTCAACTTAGAATATGTAAAATATATGTATCAACAAATGCTACTGACTTGTTTGTATACTTTCCTGTTCTGAAAGTACACTGAAAAATAAGTTATTTCTCTTGATGAAAATAATTTATCAAAAAAAGTTGTGTAAGCATTTTAAGATATTAATTTTCAAATATTTAACCCATGAAGATAGATCATTGGAATGTAATGGATTTTCATCTAAAGCAGAAATATCTGATTTTTAAATGTGTACAAGAATGTGTTTTTCCTTGTGATAAATATTGAAAGAGAACACATGTAACTATTTCATATGATTTACATATGCTGCCCTTTTCATACGATTCACATATGTGGACAGACATGAAAAAAAGTATAAAAATGATAATAAGTACAACAGTAATATTATACACGTATGATTCACATATAAAGTATAACATATATAAAACACATGTTTAACACATGTTTCATATGTATAAATATACAATGTGTTTATTTTTACACATGTTAAACACATGTGAAACATATGTTTAACATGTGTAAAAATAAACACCCTATACATGTGTGCTCCTTTTATGTGTTTTACATGTGTAAAAAATATATGTTAAACACATGTTTAACATATGTTCAACACATGTGGACATTTTTCCTGTGTACATAGATCATGCTCCTGCGTATCAAATCAAATGGAAGATACACACTGTAATCCAGTTTGTAGGTGATGAAGGTACGTATATTGCTGTATATATAACATGTATTAACTAGGGAAGTTAACGATTGAAAAGTTTAAGACATCATGTTTATCAAAAAAACTTGTTTATTACATTGCTATTAATGGATTTTTAAAGAAAATATCCAAATATGAAGACTCTGTGATAAGAAGAACATATAAGTATACTTCAAATGTAATTAATTTAGTAATTTAGTATAGAAAAGGAAATTTAATACTCGTATAGTCTAAATTAAAACCGAGACCACAGTACACGATCGTTAATTTTATTATCGACGACTTCGAAATTGATGAAAATTATTACGTGCATGCTGCAATGCTAGTTATCGCTGTAGAATTTTGCACAAAAATTGGTATTTACAAAATCGCATCAATAGATATTTGACTTTTAAACTTTTTATATAACGATTTCTCAAGAAAAGTCAGAGAGAAAAGTGACTTGATATGAGACACAACTGTTTCATCAATTAAATGGAGTTGACAATTTTCCGTATCCTTCTGTTAAATCTTAACGAAAATAAGATTTATATTTTTAACTCAATGTACAACTCTAAAACTCTCAATTTATCTATAGATGTTTTTATCGAATATTTTTCTGTAGCAAGAATGACATGTAACATTTTTGACAAAAAGCACACGGCGGGTGTGATTTGTTGAGAATGGATGCTTACTCCTCTATGGAACCTGAACCCGCCTCTGGTATTTTCAGAAGTGTGTCTTTACTTTTCTTACGATGTTTATATTACTGTTTCAGTTATGTATGATTACTCATTTACTCTGTTTTATCTTCATAATCAACAGTCTCGTTTAAAGACATCATTTTGCAAGTTCTATGGTCTTTATAAAGGCCTTGTCAGCAATACAATATATCAATAAGTCAATTGCTGACTGATGTATTTCATATTATTTGTTTAGGCCATTATTTACACTGAATACTCTTTTCGTTATTTCCCGATCATATGACGGGAGCATATGGCGAGTCTGACTGATCAACATGGAATTGTCACTCCTCCAAGGCATCTGATCGCACCTCTGATGGTCTGAAGGTCTGTTGTTGCTTTGCTTCTGATCTTTATTGTTTGAGTGGAATTATTAATAAGGTGTCGCGAACATTTAGTGATCTACAGTATTTAAGTTCTTCATTCTGTCCCTTACATAATTAGCGAATGAATATAAGAATTGTATTTTCACAGTGTTGTATAAATTAATGCAATATTTCACAACATAAACTGTTCAAAACTCAAAACCTTGTGAACCAAATAACTCTAATAAATACATTCTACAGTAAAGTTAAACATGAAAGAACCTAAAAAATTGTGCATGTGTGAAGGGGTATATGTTAATAGTTATGTACGTTTGAAACTTGAAATAAATCACATAAATCACAAGGAAACATTTTTTATTACTCACGCAAATAGCATTACGGATACTTTTATTTGTTAGTTAGTAGGGACTTTTTTAAATCATGGTATAAAATGTTATAGAACATAAGAATTTTATTGTAAGTTTTAAAGATTGTCAGATTTGAATCATTAAATTTTAAACCCCGATTTTAACACCTCTTGGCGCCCCCATTCGTTTATTGACATGACCCACTTATCATGCATACAGGAAGTTTAAAAAGCAGACAAAACAACTGATTTAAAAATGCAGCTTTAATTAACATACTGAAACAAAATGGCAGCTGACAAGATTCCATCGGAAGCAAGAGATCTCCATAACAAACTAATCACCGATCTTCATGATTTCATTAACTCTCAGGTAGATTCTCACGATTTCGAAAAGGTAAAACATCGCTTAAAGTTGAAATTACCTCCCTACGCAATAATGAACTGCAACAATGTGCTGGACATCGTGGAGAAATTACAGAAAAAAGGGCTCGTGAAGCCAGGGCATTATGATGATTTCATCAAACTCATTGAATGTATAGACGTTACTTGGGTTGATGTTATCAAAGAAAAAGCAGAGGAGATAAAAAATATAATCGCCGAGGCCAACAGACCCCAGGTAGCTGAGTCGTCAGAGAAAAATGAAAGTAAATACATTATAATAATACAAACAATCTAAACAGGGCTCATGCAATTCATTTACTGCAAGAATTTATTGTATTTTAGACCTATTTAACGACACTCAGGGAATGAAAAATCAAACTGAAAATAAATAAGTACATATTATTAAGTATTCGTTTCTTCAAAGGATTTTATCATTTTTGAGATAGATTTCTTCGTAATCATGAAGTTTTTACTTGAAATGTTCAATAAATTAATGATTTTAGAGCTGGATAGTAAAAAACGAAAGTTGGAAGAGAATGACCAAGAACCTCAGATTGAAAGTACGGATGGACCAACACAGAAAAAGGGAGCACATTTATCAAGTATGTAGACTTTAAATCTCATAATAAAAGGTGTGAAATGTGAAAAAATGATCTATATTACTGGTTTTATTTCTTAATTGGACATGTAGAAAAAAGAAGATATACGAAAGGAGAAAATCAAAAGGGGCTTGCTCTGATTCTTCATTACACGAAAGGCAGAGAGGGTAAGAAGAAAGATTTTTTATATTCAGAATTATTTTTAAGCCTAAACAAAATAATCGACTTGGAAAAGGAGAAAGAGATATTAAATACATTGTTGATATAGCGAAAGTGATTAATAATGGCATAACGAAAACATCAACAGAAAAGAGACTGTGTTTAGTACTGACACACAAAAAGACAGAGGGGAGAGGAAGACATAGATTGAAAATAACAGAGAAATGCCAAAGTAGAAATAGAGAAATTATTTGATAATACACAGAAATGACAGAGTATAAATAGAAACATTATTTGATAATACACAGAAATGACAGAGTAGAAATAGAGACATTATTTGATACACAGAAATGACAGAGTAGAAATAGAGACATCATTTGATAATACACAGACGTGACATAATAACAATAATAAAAAGAAACTGGAATTAAAAAAGACACAGAGAAAAAGGGCAGAGTGTAATAGAGATTAGAAATGACAGAGAGAATTACACAGTGGAAATACATGTAAAATAACAAACACAGACATGATGAAGAAATTAAACATTTATTAAGCAAGAGGCCCATGGGCCACATCGCTCACCTGAGCACTGTGGCTAGGAAAAAGGAGAATTGGTTTAAACTTGAAAAGCTTAAATCCAAAAGTAGTCCCAAGACCAATCATGGCTTTGCTATTCTTGAGAAGAAGATTTTTAAAGAATTTTCCTATACATTTCTATGTAAAACTTTGGTCGGCCATTTTGGCCCCGCCCTACCCCTGGGGGCCATGATTTGAACAAACTTGAATCTACACTACCTGAGGATGCTTCCATATAAATATGATCAATTATGGCATTGCTATTCTTGAGAAGAAGATGTTTAAAGAATTTTCCTATACATTTCTATGTAAAACTATGGTCGGCTATTTTGGCCCTGCCCTACCCCTGGGGGTCATGATTTGAACAAACTTGAATCTACACTACCTGAGGATGCTTCCATATAAATATGATCAATTATGGCTTTGCTATTCTTGAGAAGAAGATTTTTAAAGAATTTTCCTATACATTTCTATGTAAAACTTTGGTCGGCCATTTTGGCCCCGCCCTACCCCTGGGGGCCATGATTTGAACAAACCTTAAATCTACACTACCTGAGGATTCTTCCATATAAATGTGATCAATTATGGCTTTGTTATTCTTGAGAAGATTTTTAAAGAATTTTCCTTTACATTTCTATGTAAAACTTTGGTCGGCCATTTTGGCCCCGCCCTACCCCTTGGGGTCATGATTTGAACAAACTTGAATCTACACTACCTGAGGAAGCTTCCATATAAATATGATCAATTATGGCTTTGCCATTCTTGAGAAGAAGATTTTTAAAGAATTTTCCTATATATTTCTATGTAAAACTTTAGTTGGCCATTTTGACCCCGCCCTACCCCTTGGGGGTCATGATTTGAACAAACTTAAATCTACACTACCTGAGGATGCTTCCACATAAATATGATCAATTATGGCTTTGCTATTCTTGAGAAGAAGATTTTTAAA